CCGCCTTATGGGCAGCTTCAAGCTGCCGCATCTGTTCCCCGTCGAGGTCATTGGTGATTACACCACGTCCCTCAGTTGAGGAGGAGTCAGGGAACGGACATGGGGTCCGCAAGGCTCGAGCAGGGCTCGTATCACGCTGCTGGTGCAGCTCGCCTTTTTCGTCATCCCATGCGAAAATAGGTGTGTCAGACTCATAGTCGACCACCTCTACAGTCTCAACGAGGTCACTCGTCATTGCTCATCAAGCCTAGGATGTACATCCCCCGGTGCCGCGGACGCACTGTCCGACATTGCACCGCGTGCGGAAGACGAAGTTGGGCTCTGCCCGTGTTCGCTGTCAGAACCAGCGAGACTTGGTGACTTCAGTGTCGTTGACACAGGGCTCATTGAGCACGGAAATCGTTTTCCAATGAATTAAGTTGCAGCGTCTAGCGGACACGCCTCGTTGAGGCAATAATCGATTGGAACTGTAAATCTTAACTAGGGAGAGTGTAACGGGGTTACACGTACTCTGGTAAAAGGGGTGTGTCACACGAGATGGGCATGGTGTGACTGCACCCAAACGAGAATACGGTATGTGGCTAGGTAGCCAGTAATTATGCATGTATTTATACTTTACTATATATATGGGAAAATCTAAAAAATTAAAATCAGGCGGCTTTGCCGCAGATAAATAAATAAAACTCAGGTCTGAACTTGAACCGGAAGTCTATTAGCCTGGGTTAAGGTACTAACCACTCTTGGAGGTAGCGGATTGCGATCCGCTACACTCGTATTGGTTCTTGTAAAGATCGAAAGGTCGGTGAATTAAATTACGCTTCCTCGAGCGCTAAGCTACGGCAGCCCCGCTGCATCTACTCTTTCATTAGGAAAACCTAAGATTAAGATTTTAGATACCGGTGGATTTGCCGCAAAATAAACTAAGTCTTAGCAAAAGAGCTACGGGAGCCCCGCTGCAGAACTTCTCGTGTAGGAATACTTAATAGAATAGGGCAGATAGTAGTGGCTGTTTGAGGAACGATCACCTCAAAATAATTGTGGTCCGCGTTTTAGTCGGGGTAATTCTGTAATTATTCCTTACACATTTGGTGCATTGCAGTACCGTACACGTATACAAATTTCACATTACATTTGGTGTAATTCTGATTATTCATAATTTTTGAAATATTGGGCTTCATGGAAATGATGAAAAGAGGGCACATCAGAAAATAAAGTAAATTACATATCATAGACACATATATTAGTAAGACTTCAAATTATATTAATCCTCGTATATATCCTGTTGCAAACAAACAGAATTGGTTACTTTGAGACTCTGTGTTCCGCTCCTGGTAGGAACGCAGCCTCTGTGCATAGAGTCAAACCTTGTGCACGGCAACCCCGTTGCACAAAATGACAGCTTTCTCTTATGAGATAGTAAAACTTATACTGTCAGCATTAGCCTAATTAAAAGAAATTAAAATCATGCGCACTCATAACATAGCAGAGACTAGAGGCTCCAACATCTGTATTTTTGTTACGCAGACTGTTGGAGTCAAAACTTTCCTTTTTTGCAAAGTGTACAGCAATTCCGTTGAAGAGTGCCGTATTATGGGTTACGTACACATAGAACTGTTGTCTCTCTAATGTGTCAACAGAAGAAGTGTCGTGGTTCAGTGCTGCTATACTAATACGCTTTTCGAGATGACTTGAAACCGCCGTTGAGAAGTAACAAATATTTGACGCACGAACCCTCCATCCAACTGCGAAATCTTCCATTTTCTACATTTGATTTCCCAAAGCGGCGCAAATGTTCAGGTAGTGAAACAAGAGAAAATAGTATTGGCATCAGCGTGACGAAAGCTGTATTTTTTTCAAGTGTAGCATACTGTTTGATTGAGGTATTTTAAAATATGCGGTGGATATGGTTCACTAAGACGGCGATTGTAGTGCAATATGCTGTCGCGAGAACAGTCCAGAATGCTATTCATAACCTCTCTGCAAAAGATATTGTCAGCGAAGATGAGCTTAACTTGGTTGCTGTTGATATCTACTTGGACGTTCCAGGTCAAGTACATAATGGCATGTATGAACAAATCGCCGACGACTTGTACATTCGAGATCTGCCATGGGTAAACGTTTACTTCTCTTTGAAGCGTCTACCACAATATAAAGCTGCCGGGAATGTTGTTAGGTGGAAATTTCGAGGCTATCAGTGCCGTTTGAATGAAGAAAATGATGACCGCGTGTGTGAAGAAATTGTTAATGCGAAACTTGAAAGCGACCGTCGTCAAAATCACTCATTTCGTTCCCAGGTGCCTCATATAGTTGCCCGTCAGAGCTCTTTGAGTAGCAATGATCGACGTCTGCAGTTTGAGATGCCATCAAACATCGCTGTTCCAAGCTTTTCTACTCAGCAAGCGTTCTTTGATTGCGACTACACGAGTGATAGAAGTAGTTGGTGTTGTGCACAATCCAATCAGGGAACGGGAGGGCCGTATTGCTGGAGTATGTCCAAATGTACAGAGGACTGGTCGGCGTGGAACCAGCAGAATATTGTTTGCTGTACAGAGAGTGCAGGAGATTGCGCTTTGACGTATAAGCCGCCAATGTCAACTATAGCACCAGCGCCAACGATGTTCACTGAACAAGGTGCAACATCTCCACCTTCAGCGACAGAAAATCTCTTCAACGACATACCAATATCTGATTTTTCAGCCGTACCCTCTAATGTATTGGCAACCAGTGCACCCGTGACGATTGCTCCAGACTCGATAGCACCGCAAACTAGTTCACCAATTACAATGACGCTGGGACCAGAGACAGAAGTCCCACCTAATGACAGTCCGATTCTTCTCAGTCCTTCAGCTTCAGCTACCTCAGCACCGCTATCGGAAGTCTCGGTAACGAATGCACCAACATCGAGAGCGCCAACAAGCTCAGCGATAGAAGACCCTGATAGTAACATTTTGATCCAAGCTGACGATCCAGTTCCAACAACCTCACCGATAACGACTACAAATGCACCTGTGACCAATGCACTTGCCGAAACGATTGCACCCGCGAGAGACGCGCCAGCGACAAATGCACCAAACACTATGACACTGGCGCCAGCATCAGCACCACCAGACCTTCCTGACAACATCCCTATCCTCGCCGATAGCCCAGCTCCATCCGGCTCTGCAACAGGGATTGGCGCAGCGGTGATTGACACGCCAGTGACGACTGCACCACTCAGCGGGACGCCAGTGACGACTGCACCACTCACCGGGACGCCAGTGACGACTGCACCACTCACCGGGATGCCAGTAACTTCAGCTCCGGCGACAGAACATCCAATTGATGATATGACGATGCTACCTGCAATTTTGACACCTTCCGCCTTCACCGAAGAGACTAGACCACCTTTTTTCATCGCTTCTGCCACCGATATCCCACTAACTGGTGATACAATGATAACACCGCCGTCCGCGCCGGCGAACGGGAGTCCTGATTCTGATCTTCCAGTACCTATCCTTGCCGATACAACAAGCACTGTTGTACCAGAAAGTTCGTCAGAATCAACTCAACTATCAAACACTGCGCTGCCTTCAATCAGTCCACCTGTGTCAGCAAGGCTACCAGAAGATATATCAACGTCCACACCAACAACATCAGCGATTCCTGCAACACC